AAGGCGACATCAGTCACTATTCAATGAGCTATGGGGCTCCGAACGTTTTGACTGAACTAATCGAGATATGACTAGACTATACTACATTAGACTACTTCGGTGTGCATCCACCTTTAAGGAGTATCTTTATGCATCAAAGCCAAGAAACGCTCAAGTAATAGACGTGATGAATGATGGAAACAATTCCAACGTTAGGGAGGAATGTTTCATCGCACAAATGACAGTTTTTCGATGGGTTGCTAGGTCTGCACGTGTTGTATTGAATGACAATTTCAATAAAATAAACACGACAAAATGTTACACGGATTGAAACGTTTCCAAATATCTTCCAGTCATCCTTATAACTAATTCCTCAAAAAGGGATGAGTTTCCAAGGGGTGGGGAGGGGGCTTAAGATTTCCTTTGTCCATGAAACCCTGAACTAACTTCTGATATTGCGACATATAAACGGCCTCTTGACAGAAATGCAATTCATAGCATATGTGACTCACCCACTCATATGGGCCCGAACGCGAACTTTTGCAGGCAAAAATAGAATTTTCAAAAAAATATTCAAATAGAATATATCAATATATAAAAGCAGGCAATACAAATGTATTAGACTTGGACTTCATGCCACCTAGCCCATTCCCGCTCTTCTGCTTCAGTAACTTTGTTTGACCGAGCACTGCACCTGAACGGAATTGATCGGTATGATCTGCATGCTTTCGGATAGCCTGGAAACCGTTCAGTCCATTGCCCGCACAGATATCTGCCGTAAATCTTAATCGGTCTGAGAACCGAAACGAAAATTGCGCCGGGTGCTACTAGCGAACACCATTGCCTGTGGCCGGAGTACTCGCAGTCTTCATGAGATGGCGCTTGCGAGATAGACGCTTACCGTTAATCGCGGAGTTGTGGTTCACGAGTGGATTATCGAAATCCATCCCGGTAGTCTTTTCTTCCGCATCCATAACCATTTGCCAATTATGCATGTCGTTCTCTCCACTGTTAGTCGCCACTTCCTGGACTTCGTGATTTTTATATGGTGTAACGTAATCGTCCGCCTCGTTTGACAACGGAAAGAACATCTCGCAATTTTCATATGAAAAATGATTACGTTGGAACTCTCGCATGGAAAAAGTGTGGAGCCCGGAAATAGCCCGACGAAAGGCCCAGATCTTGTGGTTTCGTGGCGAAAAGGAGGTCCCTTGAATGAAAATGACGGGAAGTTGCCTCGGGTGGATGAAGGGAAATGAGGTTTCGAGCGGAATATAATGATTTCGATGATGAAAATCATGATAAGTGACAGAATCCAGAGGAATTAAATACCAGTGATTAAATTTTTTAAATGTTTACGGTGACGTGACGATTCGACGATGTCCCCGTGATTTTTCGTCACCGACCTCCTCGCTTCCCTTCCGACGCTTAATCACATGACAAAGCGCCAGAGCAGGACTTTTTAAAATTCATTTTTAGGCTGTTCCGAAGTTACTGACGTAACACCAGACTCGCAATGGAAACATGCATGATACATACCTTGAACAAAATGGTATAAAAATTCAACTTCAACTGTGCCATATGGAGCATAAATACCTGAACCTCGCCTGTTAAAATAAAAAACTTCTCGCTTTTATCATGGATGAAAAAAGGGAAGGCCGTTCATGTCGTTTTACTGACGTGACACAGTTTTGACAAAGGTCTTCCTTCTGCTGCTTCCCTTTCGATTTTGTCTGATTTGGCTTGACCTGAAGCCTCCATATTTTCAGATAATGAAGGCATCGACCATCACCTTTCTTCATGCCAAATGACGTTTATCGTCGCTTAAAAATGAATTGGCTTGGAGAGCTTTTCCTGCGTTAGTGACGTAACGTATTAGTCGAAAAGCGAGATTCACCAAGTGAAAAAAAAGGTCATGGGATACCATCCCATTTCAGGTGACGAATTTTAAATGGAGTTTATTTCGTCCAAGTTTAGTACCCATACATTCCAGGAAACCTATGTTGGATGACAGTTTTGTAAATCATTATTTTACCACGTTTGTCTCTATGACTGTGGTACTGCAATTTTTCTGATTTTGGTATAATGAAATGTCCAACTCATGAATCCAAAATTGGACGTTTCTTTTGGACACTCCTTCTGGATATGAATCGACCGAAAAGAAATGCCTACAGGTTAACAGCAGCTGCAATCGAGGGAAGACGAACCTTCCATGTTTTCCTCCTCGCTGACCTTGCGGAGAACAAGGATGTTCTTCGGCCTTGAGAGGAGGTGGCTCCCCGTCCGAGAGCCGACTAGGAAGGAGGAAATCCTTCAGTCCATCTCTCCTTCCCCCAGTGTTCGTGCCTTTTCTCCTCGACATGAAGCTTCTGAACGTCAGTGCATCTCATCCATCCCTTCATTTTTTCGAAATTTCTTCTGAATCCTTTTTCTCTCCCCCATTCCATTCGGGCCATTCAGAATCCAACTCCGTATCGATCTCGAACTGTCTCCAATTCCAATAACTTACCCGTGGGAAGTCCTGAATTCGAATCGCGACTCATCTCCGATCCGGGTGGGGCCTGCGTAGTTTCGTGGAATAATTTTTATCGGGTAGATCGCGAGCTGTTTCACCGATGGATTATTTGAATTTCCTTTTCAGCATGATGCACCCTATAAACCGATCATAGACTTTGATTTTGCGGATACCACTTTACTATCCAAATCCATAATTTCAAGATTTTAGGCATGATCACACGGATTGAGGGTTAAAATATTTAAGGCAGTATAATCAAAACGAAATATTTAATTTTACTCCCTTTTATTTCCCTGCCTCCCTTGCCTTAATGCGCCACTTCTTATGCCCTGAGGGCTTTCACCCTTTGTAAAGCCTTGATCGTAGGTGACGCTTGCTTCCCTTAGTTACAATTCTCGCTGCTTCCCTTGTCCAGTATTCGCCTTGACTTCGGAAAGCCCCCATCTAGCCCCAAGCCCTACTTCATTTGACTCGACATGAAGATTTGGACTTTGTATATGGAATTCAATTTTCGTAATTTTTCGGAATTGTAATTTCTACGAAGCAATTTTAAAGGAAGAAATGCCTCTTCCCACGTGTGAGGAAGAATGTAAACTTTTTGGAAGATGGAATGTGAAATGGAAATGCTAAATTACATGTTGAGAAAATAACGAGAAATGGATATCAACGTGGATGAATGAATTTCAATTTCGGTTTTTCAGTCTCTACAGCTCCCCTTGATTTCGTTCGAAGACATTCAAATTTGCATTTGTCCCTGTTAAATATTTGAATCCAGAAAACTCCATGAACTGACTATGCACCCACTTAATATTTCGGAAGTACTTGGGACTTTCTCAAGAGAAAATGCCCGACAGCACCTTGAGTGCTGCATTGAGTGATGGTTCTGAGTGTCAGTCGCAAAGGTTTTTTTTAGTGACACTCTCTGCAAAGGTGCTAAGTGTAACCTTCATAGGTGGTTTTCTGTAGAACCATTAAATGGTTTCAAGAAAGTTTCATCCTAGAACCAATGAATAGTTCTTGGGTTAATTTTTTTATATTGTAGTTTCATTGCGAAATTTCGCGACGCTAGCTTTCGCATCGCTATTGACGAATTCGCATAATAACGTGGTGGGAAGTATTGAGTACTTTAACCCAGTCGACCATGAAACGTGATTGTGATTCGTTAATTGGATTTATGGCTGACTAAAGTCCGCGTCACCCTGCGATTTAATCAAGCTTAAATATTTAATCGTTCGATGCCCCAACTGAAGAGCGTGATGAGTTCCCATCGTAGAGGAGAAAGACAGGTAGATGAACTGATGGATTGACCTGTCCGTCTCACAGACTCGTTGTACAATCCATACCATCTTAGAATACGCTAAGAATATTCATGGTAGGTGTAGCCTCTGGCCTACACAGCTTTTTCCCCTTCAAGGACATAGGCTAGGTAGCCCTTAGGCCTCCATGCCTTTCCTTTTCCGGATCATAGACTTGGTAGCCGATAGGCGTACGAGCCTTTTCCTTTCCATGTCATAGGTTAAGCGCCTTTCGTAATTCGTCCATGCAGCTGCTAGGCTTACAAGCCTGTGCCTCTGCAGGACCCAAGTTGGTTTTGGGGTGTGCTAAACAGCTTAACAATATGTGATGTGATGCGTCCGCGTAAGAGAAGCGGCGAGGCTGCGTAGGTCTGCAGTGATCAATAAGCAAATAGAAGACATCAATGATGAGAGGAGATGTGCATTAATTGGAGGGCAACATGAGACTGTTAACGCTGCATGGTGACCAGCGCGTGTACACGGCGAACCTTTAACCCTACTCGAGCTGCTTCGGTTAGGAAGTTCAACGTCATTCCAGCAGTTTCACATAGTCGTGACCCTATGCACGTTGAAAGCTTTGTTGGGCACTGACTGGCAATTCATTTCGAAACGGATAAAGGTAAACTTCGGCAAGGTGGTTGTCATGGCCATGTTGCGGTGTTCCATTCGAACCCATTAGAGATTCCGGTGATGGGGAAGATGTAAACGCTCGCAATTTTCGTGAGTTTAATTGAAAATACAACATCACAAACGCGTCCGCTTCCTTTTGGTGCAACAATTGTTGACATTATGGATAATGTCCCTTACTGCTTCTCAAAATCCGGTGAAGTCTACTGGGCGATCCATGTGAGCTCATCGTGGGTTTACCAGGCGATTATATTGCATAAAGTGGGCAACGACATAGTTTCTACGATCCTGAAGTGAGAAGCAAACTCGCTCATTCTGTGTCCCAGGCATAAGCATTCCAGTTTGGTCAATGAGGACGTGTCTTTCCGATTGGAAGGCGAATTGTGCTCACGGCACCTTAGCAAAATCGTGAAGAACGATTATGGTGGTGATGACACCGATCGGCAGGTCACCTTTCTGTTTGAATTCTTCAACAATCTCAATACTCAGGGTCTCTTCCCGCACGCCCTAATACTAAAAATCGGATATATCCTGATGTGTGTTCGGAGTCGTATGATTAGGAACGACCTTTCAACGACACGCCCATGAACGTGAGAGACCTGACTGCAAATGTCTTAATACTAAGGGAGTTTAGATGAAAAAAGGGCAATGGCTATTAGTCAAAGAGAGGGGACGAAAAGTCTCCATTTCATTCGAATACCCATAGTAGTTGAAGTGATCACGAGGCTATACGGAGGGGGCTCTCAACTTTTTCACACCAGCGAAATTTCCAGGTGTAATTATTGTGTTATTAAAATGTTTCGGTGATGATGAATTTGCAATACGCTTATATTAAGGCAAAGGTTTATAAGCAACTTCTGCATATCCTTCCTCTCTCCCGCGTCGCAAAAAAAGAAAAATGTTGAACAGTCAAGAAGTTCCCAAAAATCTCCCGCGCTCCGCAATCCGAAAGGAAGGCTGAACACCGCGCCGTCGATCGATGGAGGGGGGGGGGGGAAGGGGATGGCTTCGTCTCTTCCTGTGTCAGAGACAGAACTCCGACCCGTTTGATGGTGGGTGCAGTGATATTAATGCAGATGGAAACATTGAGGGATCGTTCTCGAACGCTAGTGAGAAGTTCAAGATTAGCGAAAACAATTTAAGGAAATCCGAAATCATGTAAAAGGGCTCTAGAGTCCACCCGGAGTTTTACTACTTTCCGCTATTTTATGGAATAATTTTCCCAAGTAAGACATGAGCATCGATCCTTCAGGATACCTCATCCTATCCTGAGTATCGAGCTCTTCGGGATGCAATTTACTATTGGATATTACTTTTTTTCACAAGGTTCTGTACGGCATACTGGTGGTGCTGATGGGCCTCCTCGCCTACAGCGAAGCGCAGAGCGCGAAGTCCCTCTTCGGCTACCGCCCTCACGGTCCCCCCGGACTGGCCAGCCTCCGCAACTTCGCCCGGCTCCACCACGGCCAGCATCACGGTCCCCGGAGGAAGGGGATCATCCCTTGAGGAGGCGCTCATCCGCTTGGGGGTCCGGCGGATCGCCTTCGACGCTCTCCGATGGAATTCATTCGGGCGAATTCACTTCATGCTCCGATAATTGCTTTTTTCTAGTGCTTCCTGCAACAGTAGTTTGAAGCTGTCATTTCAGTTTTAAATCCGTATACAATGTTACTTCACATTGTTTCGTCGATGTTCATGGTTAACAGCATTTATTCCTTTTTATCTGGATGCATGTTATTCCCTTGATTCGTTTCATCTAAGGTAATTCACCGATCGTGACTGGAGTGACTGACGGTAATTCTAACCGTGTTCTACATATAATAAAAACCTGACACTAAGTACACAAGTATCTGTTGGGGCTCATTTCAAGTTCATTTCAAGGAGTTCAAGGCTAATTTTTGACTGGAAAAGTATTTCCAGAATTTTTTCGCTCCAGGAAAATCGTATGATATGGAGAGACGAAATTTGGTTCACAAGTTGTTCTTTGAGGAAAATACTTTTGAGGAGAGTGCCACCCAGGATAATCTTTCTAAGGATAAGTATTGCGAGATATTTTTTTTATTATCCCAGCGGTACAGAGAGAGAAAGGTGAAATTTAGTGATCGAGTAGTTCACGAGATTTTGATATCATTAAACTGTTTACTTTTGAAGTACAGTCCTTCCGGACATATTTTTTCTATATATACTTATTTTTGGTAATTTTTTTGCTTGTGATAGAAAACAACCGGCTGAAATTTACAGGTTAAGTGCACAGTTTGACGACGACTGCCTCCCACATGCAAGTGCGTAAGACTGGTATAAAAGTTACAAAGAAGGCCGACACTCAGGATTCATTCCCCGAGTTGAACAGCTCATCCCTAGGAATCGACCCATCCGTTCCCACCTGAAATTCAACTAGGGGTCATTACAAGGCGGGTCCCAAGAGCATTCCAAGAGCAAGGGGAGCATTTTGAACGCATCTTATGAATGACTATGTAAAGTGCGCATTTCCCTCTTTTGACTTATGTGACGCCCTACAGCAAATTACAAATCGAAAGGGAAGATGTTCACTGGATATTTATGATGTCCAGATGGACGGAGAACCACGCGTTTCGTCACGAAAACCCTCATCCGTCCCCTCGCTATTGCGACAGTGGGCCATTCGAGGCACGATGGTATCGCATGCGAGACTGATGAGTTTTCTGTCGGCTCTGACAAAGGAATAGGGGAGGAACATGACAGGACATTGTTTTCCTTTTGGGAGGTGAAAAGGCCCATGATCTCCCATAGATTTTTCTCCACCCAAGCCGTTACCCGTGTAACGTTCACGCCTTCGTATTTGAGGTCAAGCGACTCAAGTCCCAAAGCATGTAAATGAAACTCGCAGGTGGAATTTTTTTAACAGTCATATTCAGATCAATAATATTGAGTGCGTCCCGTCATTCACCCCCCTCCCCCCTTCCCCAAATCACCAAATTTCCAATGTTCCAAATTTCAACACGTTCGGTTCTCTAATATTCAACTATTCTAATATTCTCTAATATTCAACTCTAATATTCAACACTGTACACATTAGGAACTCTCGTCTATCAGATGAAGGAGAGACGATCCTTCCCATCCTCAGAGATCCCAATTTCCCTTAATAGCAGATTTTAAATGAGTTCTGCCTCAGAGGATTCTAGGGATGACTTTCGAATTCCAATCTGCCACGCTTTGAATCAATAATAAGGGATGCGTTGCTTCATCAGGGAACCTGCAATAGCATGCATGCAGATTTCCAGGGAGTGCCGCACCGTAACATTCGATCGAGAAACGTCGTTCGGGCATTCTGCTGGACGCGGATCGGGCTGGCAGCTCGGTCCGCAATCCAGATGTCTGTTGGTTACAGGCGAATGCACTATCTTTTTCTTCAGCCGCTTACAGTTGCTGGCAAAAAGGAGGCCTCGTTCCTCGACATCGCCTAGTAGCTGTTCCAGGAATGCTATTTGGAAGATTCGTTGCATTTCCTCAGAAGCGATTCCTCAAAATGTATCGGAAAATCATACAATTTCGGAGCAGGGGGGAGGATGGGGGAGGGGGGGGGGGGCTGGAGCCTTGAGTCCCCCTCACTCCTGGACCAATCTCTGATATTGCGACTGTAAAACGGTCTTTTGACAAAGCAAGACAATTCATCGTGAGGTATGGTGACTATTCCCCTCAAAAACTATCTAGGACCAACTCTCGCATTCCAGTACACCAACCTTCCTGCTTTGACATGGAGAAAACTTCACCCTGTTAATTCTCTTTTCGCAAGAGGCGAGGGAGGGGGGGGGGGTATGGGAGAGAGGGGAGGGGATTCGTTAGCTCTAGGATTCTGGGAAATATGAGAAGGCACTCAAGCGCAGAAAGTACCCTTTTAAAACATCCCCAAGTAGATTTGGAACTAGGTGGATGGTCCTTCGGGCGCAAATCCACCTGTTAGAGAGATGTCCACCAGGCTTTAAATCCACACTCGGGGACTCCCACCCAGCTCGAAGTACACGTGCGCAAATGATAATGTGAATTTCCGCCAAATTCGGTTCGAAATTCGGATCCAAATTCATCTTCTATTCAGCTCGTCGTCGAGTCAGGCGGATTCAGATGGACATTTCGCCCGTTCAGCAGTTGGAACCATTCGAAGCGACGAGGCAGGTGAGATTTTAAATTTCAGGTCGGGCAACAAAGGGAAAGTACGCCTTCAGAGGTCGCCGAGGTCGTGGAAAATCCCGTCAGGACAATGACGCGCGAAAGGAGTCGCACCCTCCAGGGACTGCCGTCTCAAATGGGAAATGAATGGGCATTTGACGAGACGGATGCCTCGAGCTGAAAGCGACCCGACCGCTTCCAAAGTCAGGGTCGAAGAACGTATCCTTTGAGAGTGGCATTTTTCACGAAGTTCTCGCCTTGGTTTGACTGGGGGGGGGGGGGGGGGAAAAA